AATGTTAATGATAAACAAAACAGTGGTGGAAAAGATAATGATAAACAAAACAGTGGTGAAAGTGATAATGATAAACGTAACAGTGGCGAAAATTACAATGATAAACGTAACAGTTGTGAAAGGTAATAATGATAAACACACTGGTGGTGAAAGTGATAATGATACACAGAACAGTGGTGGATAAAATATTGATAAACAAAACAGTGGTGGAAATGATAATGATAAACGTAGCAGTGGTGAAAGTGATAATGATAAACGTAACACTGGGGAAATTGATAATGATAAACGTAACAGTGGTGGAAATGATAATTATAAACGTAACAGTGGTGAAAGTGATAATGATAAACGTAACTCTGGTGAAAATGATAATGATAAACGTAACAGTGGTGAAAGTGATAATGATAAACACCCTGGTGGTGAAAGTGATAATGATAAACACAACAGTGGTGAAAATGATAATGATAAACAGAACAGTGGTGAAAATTACAATGATAAATGTAACAGTGGTGGAAATAATAATGATAGACAAAGTAGCGGTGAAAGTGAAGATGATAAACACATTTGTGGTGAAAATGATAATAATACACAGAACAGTGGTGGAAATGATAATGATAAACGTAACAGTGGTGAAAGTCATAATGATAAACGTAACAGTGGTGAAAGTAATAATGATAAACGTACCACTGGTGAAAGTGACAATGATAATGATAAACACAACAGTGGTGAAAATCATAATGATAAACGTAACTGTGGTGGAAATGATAATGATAAACAAAACAATGGTTGGAAATGATAATGATAAACACAACAGTGATAAAAATCATAATGATAAACGTAACTGCGGTGGAAATGATAATGAGAAACAAAACAGTGGTGGAAATGACAATGATAAACACAATAGTGGTGAAAATGATAATGATACACGCAATAGTGGTGAAAGTGTTAATGACAAACACAACAGTGGTGAAAATGATAATAGTAAACGCAATAGTGGTGAAAGTGATAATGATAAAGTAACAGCGGTGAAAGTGATAATGATAAACACACTGGTGGTGAAAGTGATAATGATAAACACAATAGTAGTGAAAATGATAATTATAAATAAAGCAGTGCTTAAAATTACGATGATGAATGTAATAGTAGTGAAAGTGATAATGATAAACACAATAGTGGTGAAAATGATAATGATAAACACAATAGTGGTGAAAGTGATAATGATAAACACAATAGTTGTGAAAATGATAATGATAAACACAATAGTGGGGAAAGGGGTAATGATAAACAAAACAGTGGTGAAAATGATAATGATAAACAAACCGGTGGTGGAAATGATAATGATGAACATAACGGTGGTGGAAATGATATTGACAAGAGCAATAGTGGTGAAAATGACAATGGTGAACAAAACGGTGAAAATTACGATGATAAACGTAACAGTGGTGGAAATAATAATGATAAACAAAATAGTTGCTGAAAGGGATAACGATAAACACAATAGTGGTGAAAATGATAATGATAAACACAATA